AAAAAAAAAAACAACACAACCCCCTTGCGAGAAGCTGCATCAGACTCCGCTTACCTGTGTCCTCCCCATACCAGTCACTCTGAAGGTCCATCATGGAGCTCATGGGCAAACCGGCATCTTCTGGCCGGCCCTCAAAGCCACGCACAAAAGGATGGACCATCTCGTCTTTCCTTTGGGAGGCGCTGTTGCGTAGCAAGGCTTCGAGAACCTGCTTCATGTGGTAGCTGCTGCATGCCAAGTCCATGGCCTGCCCCCCGTGAAGCCCCTCTTCGATCTGCTCGATCATCAAGGGAGTGGGATACTGCTGTAGCCGTCCCCCAACTTCCACCTCGTCCACATCAAACTCGACCTTTGGCTCGATCACCTTGGGTGCGGAGGAGCTGGTGTCATCCGGAGACTCGCAGCCAGCAGGGTCCCTGGCCAGGAGATCCAGATGACGCTGGCAGCTGCTGCAGTCCCCACAGGGGGGAGGCCCTTGTGGGCAGTCTGGGGCGCCATCCTTGTCCTGCAGAGAGGAAGTGGAGGCTGAGCATTGGGACTTGGCACCGCAGGATGGGCCTTGGCAGGCAGAGCTGGCAGAGCTCCCGCTGTCTGCCTGGTAGAAGGCAGCTTCTCGCTCGATCTTCCTGCAGATGTCCAGCGATGACCGGATGTACGTCTTGCAGAAGTTGACCACGTCAGTCATCTGCAAGTAGCTGGCCGCGGACATGACCTCAATCACATTTTCCCCACAAAGTTCCAGCTTACCTGAATAAAGGAAGTCCAGGATAACGGAGAAGGCCTCCGAAGTCACAATGTCCAGGGAAGCTGTGCTGTGCCGGCCACCGTCCTGAATGTAGTGGATCAACAAAGCTCGGAAGTAGCCGCTGTTGGCAAAGAGAATGTTCTTGTGGGCCTTGAAAATCCTCCCTTCCACTATGATGCTGCAGTCGCAAAAGAAGTCCCGCTTCCGCTGCTCGTTCAGCTCGCTCAAGAGTTTGGCATAGTAGGACTGTATCTCCATGGCTCTGCAGCTTGGAGCAGTCAGGGGGCCCTGCAAGGAAAAGGAGGACCAAGCGAGGTCACGCAGCTCCAGGGCACGGAGGCAGACCGAGCCCCCCTCCAGCCTGCACCTGAACTTTGACAGCCCTTCCTGGAGGGCTTCAAAGGGCTGTGGATGGAGAAGAAGCCGCAGTGGGAATCCTACGTCATCAAGAGTCTTTTTCCTCTCTCAGCTCTGCACTCTAGTCCAGAGTTTCTCAGCATTGGCCTTTTTAAGAAGTGTGGACTTCAATTCCCAGAATACCCAAGTATTGAGTGCTAGCTGTGGAATTTGGGGAGTTGAAGTTTATACATCTCAAAATGGCCCAGGCTGAGAAATACTAATCTGGTTTATCACACCTGAATGGCGTGTTAACTTAGGAGTTCCCAGTGAGCTGCACCCAAACTTTGGCTTATTTCTGGATAAGCCAATGACTGGATGCAGAAAGTTCTAGAGCTTTTTTGGGGGGGGGGATAAGCAAGAACAAGAATGCCGATCCCACTCCCTGCCTTTGCTTCCACTTGCCTTCTCCTTCTGTTCTGTGGGGTACCCTGCAAAGGGATTCTTTCCTAGATCAAGTGGGAGATTTTGCAGGATTGTCCCTTATACACAGACACATACATCAAAAACCTCCACTGGGACCCTGTCTTAGGAACTAAAACTTCCAACATTGCCATAAAGGAAAACAAACACCAACATCTGGAGCCTGGCAATCCCATCCTTGTCTCTGCTGTTATCCTTGTAAGATTTTCCCAGCCATTTTCACTTTCAGAACATCCCCCCCCCTCCCTCTAAGCAGCTGCAGGCAGGCTCTTTCTCCTCCAGCTGGGTTCCTTTTCCTAACTGAGGCAACTGCCAAGATTTTCCACTTTTCTCTTCGTTTGCAACTGCAAGAACTGCACCAGATGAAAGGGGCCTGAGCCTCAACGTCTCAGGGCCCCCGTTTTGCAGGCAAGGAAGGCAAGGCCATTCAGCCTTTGTAAGTGCACTCCTTGCTGGTAATATTATAATCACACAGATGATGATTTCCTCCTCCAGGGTAGAAGTCCTTGGGTAATGGTTCCTTCTGCCTGGAGTAGGAAGCAAAAGCTATAATGGGACCAGGGGAGCCCCACAGACCCCCCTCCTCCTTCCTCTCAAAGGGCAAAATTGGCCAGTCATTCACTAAAGCACAAAACAGGACGGCAGATGCTTCTCCCCATCCCGTCCTCTAAATCAGCCATTCAGAACTGAGTCCTTTTCATTCCTTTGGCTTTGTGGCACCATAGGAGGGAGATATTCCGCACAAGAGATGATCAGTCAGGGCTAAATCACAAAGTTCAGGGGAATGAAGTTCTTGGGAAGCAGCCGTAGCAGCTGCTTTTGCCTCCCCTGCTTCAACCCTTGTCTAATAAACCATGGTTTCTTCAATAAACCTATATTCGGACCGAAGCCCAGCCCAGCCCAGCCATCAGGCTCCTTGGTGCTGGCGGAGCATTCTTGAAAGCCAAGCCCCGCAGGGCTTCGCAGTGGATCGCAGCCTCGCTTCTGCCCGGCGCTGATCATCCGCGGGCTAAGCCACGCGGGGGTGGGGGGTTTTCGGCCCCGGTGGGCGGGAAGGCAGCCAGGGGACCCTCCAGCCCGGCCTGCAACGAAGCGGGCAGGAGCGCGGCGGGGCCGAAGCCAAAGAGCCGGTTCCCTCTCTCCCTCCGTGCCCATCCAAGGCGTCCCTCGCGGATCTGCCGGGAGACAGACGGGCCCCTCCGCGCCCAGCAGCCCCTCCCGCTGCCTTCCTTCGGCGCTGCCCCCTCGCCAGGCGCAGCGCGGGTCCCCGGAGGTCTTCTAGTCCGACCCTCCGCCGTCCCAGCGATGCAGCGCCCGCAAGCGCCGGAGGGAGGCCGGCTTGGAGGTGGGGTCACCCCGCCCCGGCAGCCTTTGGAGGGAGAGCGGGAGCCGCCCCGCCGGCCAAGCAGCGCAGACTCACCTGCCTTGACTCGCCCGCCGCGGCTGCTGCCTGCCTCCTCCGCTCCCCTCCACGCGGCCGCGCGCGCGCGCTCCGAGCCACAGGCAGGGCACCGGCAGCCCGCCCGATTGAAGGGGCCACCCACCCTGCTCGGCGCCAATCGCCCCCCGGAGCCCCCGGCTTCTTGGGGGTTGCCGGGATTTGCAGTCTTCTCGGCCGGGGCTGGAGGTGGGGGGAGAAAGGGTGGCGGGCGGTCTTTGAGGAGGAGGAGAGGAGGGGGAGTCAAGGGAAGAGGGGAGTCTTCGCAGAAGAGAGCCAGCCGTGCGTCCCGGGGGTCCATCCAGCGACTCCGCCTTCCTCGCAGTAGTCAGTGCGGCTCAGCAAATGTAAGATGTGTGGCCTTCAAGGCATCAGGCTGGCTGGGGAACCTGGGAATTGAAGTCCGCGTATCTTAAAAGTTGCTGAAGTTCGGAAACCGCGGCTTAAACGGGGATGCTTCTTGCATCAGCCAAAGAGGAGACTCCTTTTGCACATTAGGCTGTAGGTTTTCAAACTTGGCAACCTTGTGGACTTCAACTCCCAGAATTCTCCAGCCAGCTCTGCAAACCATCTCTGCTGGCTGGAGAATTCTGGCAGTTGAAGTCCTCCCATCTTAAAGCTGCTGAGATTGAGAAACACTGACCTAAGTCTAAGTAGGATCTTGCTGCAGAGCTATTTTGGGTGGCTCTAAGTAAGGCGGTTGTTCAGTGAGTCATGCACTATTTTACAATCTTTTTTTAGCCATAGTTGTTACATTAAATGGTGCAAGGGAATCTTCCTGTAACCTTTACCATTTCAGACAAACGATTGTCCAATCTCTTCTTAAAAATCTCCAGTAATGGAGCACCCAAAACTTCTAAAGGCAAGCTGTTACGCTGATTAGTCAGGAAATGTCTACTTAGTTTTAGATTGGATCATCTTCCACACATTACTTTTTGTCCTGCCTTCTGGTGCTTTGGAGAATATATTGACCCCCTCTTTTCTGTGGCAGCCCCTCAAATATTGGAAGACTGCTATCATGTCTCTCCTTGTCCTTCTTTTCCCTAACTAGACATACCCAATTCCTGCAACTGTTCTTCACGTTTTAGCCTCCAGTCCCCGAATCATCTTTGTTGTTCTTCTCTGCACTCTCTCCAGAGTCTCAACATCTTTTGATATCATACAGTCCAAACTGCATGCAATATTCCAAGCGTGTTCTTACTAAGTTGTTCTAAAGTGGTATTAACATCTCAAGTTATCTTGATTCTATCCCTCTGATAATGCAGTCTAGGACTTCTTTCTTTGGCAGTTGAAGCACACTGCGGGCTCATATTTAAGTGAATGTCCACTAGGACTCCAAGATCCCTCTTGCAGTTACTACTTTTGAGCTGAGTTTCACCTAATCTGTACCTCTACATTTGGTTTTTCTTCCCTGTTAAACCTTACTTTTCTCCAGATTGAATTTCATTTTGTTAGATGTGGCCCAGTGTTCAAGTCTGTTAAGATCCTTCTGCATCTTGAGCCTATCTTCTGGAATGTTGGCTATTATTCCTGTTTAGTGTCATCTGCAAATTTGATGAGTTCCCCATCTATCCCTTCATCTAAATCATTGATTAAGATAGTGAAGAGTAGTGGGCCTAAGACAGAGCCTGGGGCTACCCAACTGCCTACTTCCCTCCATATAGGTGCAGTTCAATTAAGAATTACATATTGAGTACGGTTGATCAGCCAATTACAAATCCATCTGGTGGTGATGCTGTCCCACATTTTTCTAGTTTATCAAGTTGTAGCTTGTGGTCCATTTTATTAAATGCCTTGCTGAAGTCCAAGTAAATTATATTCACAGCATTTCACTGGTCCACTAATTTTATCTCCTCACTACCTGCCAGACTCAGGATGTGTTGGACTACCACTGCCATCATCCTAAATCAACATGAGCCTGGTAATCTGGGGGCCCCAGTTGAGAAGGCCTTTTTTATAGTGCCTAATTTTGCATAACTAGTTTCCACCCCCTTTCCTTTTATCTCATTCCCTTAACTTCACATATTGATTACTAGCTGAATTCCCGTTCTCCGCTTCGAAACTATGTGATCGGGCTTGATAAATCGACACAAATTGAAAATTGAGTAGTTACGATCGGCCTCTCCTCTTCCCTTCTTTCCTCAGGCTTGCCCCACAGAAGCCTCTCCTGACCTAGCCCCTTCTCTCCCTCAGGCTCCTCTCCAAACTCCCAGCCCCCAGGCGGGACGAGTCATACACTTGCCATGCCCAGGTGGCAGTTGGAACAGAGTTATTTTCAGGTTGGGCGGGGGAGAAGAATGTCTAACTCCTTAGCATCAGAGTGTGTTAATTACTGTATAAGAAATACTAATGATCTATAAGAAGCATTTTTGCCATATTCTTAATTTCAGATCAATTCCTGATCTTTCTATTTTCATTTCTCCAACTCCACTACATCTTCAAACCCAAAAGTGCAGAACTGTTGGCTGCAGGAATTCTGTTCAGCTGATGATCCAGTAATATGTTTGATTTGACTTCTTTTCGACCTGAGCTTCTTACTGGGAACAGTCTTAGTGGCTTTGGCAGATCTCCCACATCCAGCTCTGCTCAATCCAGACCTTGGGGGAATCATCTAGAAGAATCCAGGCCTCATTTCTCCCACAGCATCAGGCTCTTGGTCTGGGTGTGTGTGTGGGTGCTCACTAGTGTGGCCATCACATGCACAATGACTTAGCACCAGAAAAGGAAGACAGCTTCCCTACCTGTTTTGGGTGTTTTTTTCTGAATCCAACTCGGGTTGCCATTGTGTCACATAAATCCTTGAGGCTCCGGACCCTCGGGAAATCACACAAGAGAGCTGTGCTTTTAAGCAGACCCTGCAAAATGAGTTTGTTTTACTTGTATTTTATTTAATTTCATTTCTGTAATTATTTGATTTTTTAATGTAATGCATAGCAACACATCTTATTTAACTGTATTTTTTAAATAAATGAATATGTAAAGGATTGTGTCTCTTTTGTTG